GGGCGGGGCCTGAGGCGGGGCCCGCTCTGCTCTTTGACAGCTGTCTTTCAGCCGCCGCAGCCGAGTCCGGTGGGTTTGGGAACCTGTGGCCCGGCTCTCCACGCGTCCCCGTCCCCTCTGTGGCCCTGGCCCCGGCCATGAAGCGCATCTTCTCCTGCTCCAGTTCACAAGTGGCGGTAGGTGCCCAAAACGTGTGGGAGAATGGGGCTGGGGTCCAAGCCCCGTGTTGACAGTAGTCCTGAATCCCATCTCCATGCTTCATCGTCTCTCCTTATCTCTTCATGGATCTTTCCAGAGACCCCCAAACCGCAATGCAGCCCACTGGCCTTGCTAACTTAACTTAGTGGAGGTCATTTATAACCTGTCCCCCAGCCTCCATCTTGCCTTGTACCCAAGGTTCTTTTCCTTAGCCTCTTTCTTGTTCTCCTAGCATCTACACCCCCAATTTCTGCAGCCCTGTCCCCTTCCCAAGTTCTACCTCTACTCTGTCTCTCAGTATCAAACCACCCACAAGTATCTGATCCAGTCCCTGCCCAGCCCTTGACTTCATTCAACCACCCTAATTCTTATCCAAGAGTTTCACTGTCCATCCCTTCCCAGTTCTCATGTTCCTGCCCTGCCAGGTGGCCCATCCTTACTGTTCTCTGTCATCCCAACAAGTTGCGTTTTCCCTAGCCCTTCTTCACAGTCTCCTCTCTCCTTGCCTTCATTCCACCCCATGCCACTTCCACTGCCATTTTCTTATTAGCACTACTGAACTTCAAACATCACTCCAAACCTCTTTCGAACTGGTGCTCCCACAACAGCAGCCTCTGTTCTCCCCCTTTTCCCATTTTGCCCAGTGGTCACCCAGTCCCACTTCTCCCTCTTTTGCCTGGACCGCCTTCTGTCCGCTCACTTGTGGGTTAATCTTGCAGTCTAGCCAGCCTGACAGGCACTGCCAGAGGACGCACAGTTGCCTGGCTGCTCCCCAAGGGACTGGGTGAGTTGCCTGCAGAATCCACCCTGGCTGGTTCACTGCAGTGTCTGGATATCAGACTGATTCTTGGGGTCAGTCAAAAGCTTTCTTCCCGGTTCTCCCTAAACTCTTCCTTTGTTCTGAACCCTCATCCAGTTGTTTAGGTCTTGTATTTTTTGTTTCTTTTGATTGAATTTGAGGAAAGTGATGTTGAAAGGAGAGGAGAAGGGAGGAGGTTAGGGTGGATCATCATGAGAATCCACAACAGAAGTCATTCTGTGTTCCCCCAGAACAAAGCAGAAGGAAGAAGACTGCAGAAGGTAGTAGCTCAGAAGAGATTGCTAAAGATCTCTTACAGAAAGACCTCCTATCTGGGGATGGACTTTCTTGTGGAGGTTGGGGTTATAAATCAGAAGTGAATTAGCCAGCTACTTGGAGTAATATTGCTTAGTTACCTTGATTTAGTGATGTCATTTAAAAGCAAATATGAGAAATGCTCAGTTAGCTAACTCTTTCTGCATGGGCAGACCACAGAATTCTGAAAGAAAGCTATGAGGCAAAAGTAGGAACTTTGTTGAGGCCTGTCCTTGTCCCATTTGCATTTGCTTCTCCACTAAGTTTCCACATACTGATAAACTAGTCAAAA